CGGCTCCCACCTGCCTCCGCCGGGGAATCGGGGTGCGCGTTCCCCGGGGTGCGCCTGTGCGCGCCCGTGCGCGCCCGGGTGGTGTCTTTGCGCCAATTTCCTCCAGCGCCTGACATCTTTACCACGAACTAGGAGGAGGGACCTGACCTTTAACAAAAAAGAACCTCAGGTTCAGAGAGGTAAATCGGTTGGCTCTAGGCCACACAGCGAACAGGCGACAGAGCTGGGATTTGAACTCAGGCCCGCCTGAACGCTTGGCCGAATCATTCATTTATTCAGCAGGATGTAAACTGGTCAGGACCATCCTGCCTGAAGCCAGGCTACCTCAGTTCTGTGGACAAAAAGGGGCCACGTGCTAACCTGACAAGCTCAGGGGAGGCCTGCGTGGCGGCCTTGCAAACTCAGAGACCCAAAGTAACCACAAAGGGTGGTCTGAAATTAAAGCTTTTTAACTAAAAGCCGTTTGTGGCAGGTGGTCATAGCCTAGGCTAGAATCTTCCCTGGCAAAAGTCAATCTTTACCTTAACTGAGCCTGTCTATTGTCTTCCACGTCTAGGACAATAACCCTTTGGAAAGTCGGGGTAACTACCCTCTTCCGGCTCCTCAGGGCACAACAAAAGCCACTGGCCAGACCGTAAATCCTCTCCTGTTATCATGTTAATTGGTGACTGTTAACTCCCCGGCACCCACCTAATAAAAGATGTATGTGTCCATCATTTTACTTTTAATCCAATCCCAGAGGTTTCCGCACTTGGTTTTCTCCCGCCCCCCGATTTATCACCAGTGGATTTCCCGGCGCCCCCCTAACGCCTCCGCCTTTGACTGTACCGTGTAAAACAAGGCACAGCGCTGCCATTCTCTGAAGCACTTTCTCAACCTGTTGAGATTTTCCTTGCCAGCAGTTGTCCTCAGTTTGGCTCAAATAAACTCATACAAATTCTTACAGCTTTGGACAGCTTCTTACGTTGACATTGGCAAGTGGAAAGGTGGTGCCTTTTACAGAGGTGAGGAGGGGGGAGGAGGAGGCATGAGGACCAGCCAGGGTGGGAAGCTGGTGGAGCAGGTTTTGCAGGAAGGAGGGGAGCCAGGATTTCTTTTTTGTCCCCAGGAAGTGTGAGGTGCTTTTAGATGTCCCAGGAGTTTGGATTAAAGTTTGGATTTAGGACCTCCTAGCACCCTCCAGAACAAACAAAGGACAACTAAGAACTGGCACCTCTGTCCTCCGTCGTGACAACAAAGAGTAGCCAGCCTCCCTGCCCGGTCTCAGGGCACACCCCCCTGCGATGGCAGAGGCTAGAATCAAGACCAGAGGAGGCTTCAGGGAAGATTCAAGCCATGTTTAGAGGGATGGAGCTCTGGCCTAGAATAAAAATGACAAGATTGCAAAGAGTCTAATGTTTTAAGATGACCATAGATCAGACTGATGAATGTCAGAGGGATGGAGGGGGAGAGAGTAACCAAAGAACTTATATGCAGATATGCACAACCCAAGGACACGGACAATGG